TCGGGTTACACTTATTCGAATGGGTGATCCTCGCGATAATAACCCTAGCGTGACTTCGTCAACGCATAGGGTCAAATCACTTATAGATTTAAATAAATCATTGGAAATTGAACCAAATAATGCAGAAACATTAAGAATTCGTGGAGAATCATTTTCAAGTTTAAATAAATCATTAGAAATCGAACCAAATAATGCATTTGCATTAAGAATTCGTGGAGATACTTATCGCATGATGAATAGATATGAAGAATCACTTATAGATTTAAATAAATCATTAAAAATTAAACCAAATTATGCAGAATCGTGGAGATACTTATCGCATAATAAATAGATATGAAGAATCACTTATAGATTTAAATAAATCATTGGAAATTGAACCAAATAATGCAAAAGCATTAAGAGTTCGTGGAGAATCACTTTCAAGTTTAAATAAATCATTGGAAATTGAACCAAATAATACATTTGCATTAAGTATTCGTGGGGATACTTATCGCATGATGAATAGATATGAAGAATCACTTATAGATTTAAATAAATCATTGGAAATTGAACCAAATAATCCATTTGCATTAAGAATTCGTGGAGAATCACTTTCAGGTTTAAATAAATCATTAGCAATTGAACCAAATAATACATTTGCATTAAGTATTCGTGGAGATACTTATCGCATGATGAATAGATATGAAGAATCACTTATAGATTTAAATAAATCATTGGAAATTGAACCAAATAATCCATTTGCATTAAGAATTCGTGAAGAATCACTTTCAGGTTTAAATAAATCATTAGCAATTGAATCAAATAATGCATTTACATTAAGAATTCGTGGAGATACTTATCGCATGATGAATAGAATTGAAGAATCACTTATAGTTTAAATAAGTCCTTGGAAATTGAACCAAATAATGCATTTGCATTAAGGGTTCGTGGAGATACTTATCGCATGATGAATAGTTACGAAGAATCACTTGCAAGTTTAAATAAATCATTAGAAATTGAACCAAATAATGCATTTATATTAAGAGTTCGTGGAGATACTTATCGCATGATAAATAGATATGAAGAATCACTTATAGATTTAAATAAATCATTGGAAATGGAACCAAACAATGCATTTGCATTAAAAATTTGTGGAGAATCACTTTCAAGTTTAAATAAATCATTAGAAACTGAACCAAATAATGCATTTGCATTAAGAATTCGTGGAGATACTTATCGCATGATGAATAGATATGAAGAATCACTTATAGATTTAAATAAATCACTGGAAATTGAACCAAATAATGCAAAAGCATTAAGAATTCGTGGAGAATCACTTTCAGGTTTAAATAAATCATTAGCAATTAAATCAAATAATGCATTTACATTAAGAATTCGTGGAGATACTTATCGCATGATGAATAGATATGAAGAATCACTTATAGATTTAAATAAGTCCTTGGAAATTGAACCAAATAATGCATTTGCATTAAGAGTTCGTGGAGATACTTATCGCATGATGAACAGATACGAAGAATCACTTGCAGATTTAAATAGATTACTAGCAATTGAATCAGATAATGCGGTAATGTTAAAATATGGTAATTTTATTGAATGGATTCCATTTGATAGGCTAAATGATCTTCAAATAATTGGTAAAGGCGGATTTGGTACAGTATTTTCTGCAATCTGGTTAGATGGCAAGCCAATAATTAGAAATAAGTTACAAACACGTGGAAAATCACTAAAAGTTGCGCTTAAAACACTTAACACTTTCAAAGAAGTAAGTTAAAAGACTTATTGTAGTACTTTGCAAAAAGTTGTGGTCACAATAATAGTTAAAAATCTCTAAAGATGCTGGTGAAATTGGTGTTGAATTGGTGAAATTTGGAAAATTAATTTCACCAGTATCTCTAAACCATATTTTCAACAATTTATCTCTTAGCATATCTGTCGATTTGTTTTGACATCAAAAACAGCTAATCATGATCGAGGATTATGTATGCTTAAAATTTATTACAAAGCAAATTGTAAAAAAAAGGGCTTTCTAACTAGCTTTGCATTTATAATTAAATACGTAGAAAATTACGATATTTATAAATTTAATTATAGGCTAAAGTAAGTTCAAAAGGCAATTTTTTGAAAGTTACTTCCGATTTTACTCTTGACAGTTACCAACCAATCATTCAATAACAGACCTATCCTAAAAACCCATGTATTTTAATAAACAATAAAGGTAGAGCTTAGCATACCTGTTTTACTGATTTTTATTGGTCTTTTATGTTAAAAAGCCCTTTTATTAGTTGTAACAAGTGCTTCGCTTATTAATATTTCAACGTTACTTAAGGGCAAGCTTTTGCTTTTCCAAACAGTCTCTGAAAATCAAGTGGCTGATATGGTTAGCTGAGATGCAAAATTTCAAAATCACAACTTTTTACAAAGTACAAAAAAATATATATACAATTCTTTTGATTATTATATATTCTGACTATGATATATTTAATTTAATAAGTTCGAAAATCACGTTCGATGTAGATTAAATGGACTTGGACTTGAGATATATGGAATTTCTCAGGATATAAAAACTCAGACATGTCTTATGGTATTTCAATATGCCAATAAAGGAAATCTTTACGAGTTTTTAGCATCAAATTTTAAAAGACTCGATTGGGAAAGTAAATTATTGCATCTTATAGATATATCAGAGGATTTGGCTAGGATTCATAAATCAGGATATGGTCATTGTGATTTCCATAGTGGAAATATTTTACAACATCAATCCGGAGATTTTTTTATAAGATCTTTTATAACCGATCTAGGATTATCAAAGAAACTGAAGGAATCAGCTTCAAAAGGTGAAGTTTATGGTGTTATGCCCTATATTGCACCAGAAATTTTATTGGGTGGACAATATACACAAGCATCTGATATATATAGTATGGGCATTATTATGACGGAATTGTCAACTGGAAGAAAGCCTTTTGATGGCTGTCCGTATGACTTTAGACTTGCATTGGATATATGTAATGGAATACGGCCTGAATTTTCTAAAAAAACACCTAAATGTTACATTGAATTAGCTAAGCAATGCATGAACTCCAACCCATATAAACGACCTAGTGCTGAAGTAATTAGCTCAAAACTTTCTAAATGGCAGCGTATCATTTCGAAATCTCGTAAAGATTCTGATATTAAAAGAAGTTTTATTTCAGCTAATGAAGAAATCAAAACACAAATTATTTTACCAAATTATCAAAATTCAATGTATCCAAATTATAAAAAACCAATGTATACTAGCATATTAATAAACACTAAAGAAATTAAATCGGTGTATGAATCAGCTACCGGCATGTTAATAGACACTAAAGAGATTGAACCAGCTACCTGCATATTAATAAACACTATGGAGATTAAATCAATAGATGAATCATCCACTAACATATTAAACACTAAAAAAAGATTAAATCAGTACATGAAACAGCTACTAGCGTGTTAATAAACACTAAAAAGATTAAATCAGTACATGAATCAGCTACTAGCGTGTTAATAAACACTAAAAAAATCAAAGTAGCACATGAATTAAGTTCAAAGTAGATTTGGTACTCGAAACGAAACCTACTCGAAACTAATTTCGAAAAGCTCTAATCCGAAACTAGTTTCGGAGTTTTTTTAAAAAACCGAAGTCCCGAAACAATAATCCAAAACTCAAAATATAATCCGAAACTTTTAAAACTTATAATATATTGAAACTTATTTTGACATTCCTACTTTACTTATTTCCAAACAAATATACCTGTATACTATATATCTATATATCTATACATATTATTGTATTACAACTGTTTTCAAAATTCTGGGACATCTGTTAAAAAGCCGAATGATTTATCTGCAGAACCGGTTTAAGTTGCTGATTTTGGATAAATATAACTAGGAGCTTGAGTTGCTTAAAGGGAGTTAAAAATAATTGAAACATGTATTGTGTTGTACTAGTACATTAAAT